AAGCAGCTGATTACGCACTAGTGTTTGGCAGGTCACGTTCTGACACAGCCAAGGAGATTTAATGCTCCTGAAGAACATGTATACGGTTGCCTTGTATCAGGGGTATATAGCATGTATAGAAGCATATAACGGAGTTATATGCAATTTTCCATTATTTATTTATAGGCAAAAAACTGATCATTTTAGATCTCTCTACATACCCTAGAAGTATGTGAACTTTATTCTGAGACAGTATGTATGTAGTAAGATGTGCCTGAAGGCCTTGTTCCAGAACTTTCTCTCTTACCGTGGACATAGTCCTTATGGCCGATCAGTGCTATTTACTTTTTTATCTTTGGGTTTGTATTATCTGTGTATTACATACATACATCGTTATTCGTGTTTAATATCCTTAGGTTTAAAAAATGCGACTGTCGTCGTTTGTATTAGAACAAAGTAGATTTTATCTTTATCCTAGAATCACATACTACATTGTCATCTAAGTTATATATTCTCAGACTTTCGTTCGTCTATGTTAAAGATACGATAATTTTAGACTTTTTCACTTATGTGTGTTATGTTATTTGCTTCGGAGGGGCTTGTGGAACATCTCTACACGACAATAAAATCATGTATTACCATCGAAGGTGTAAACATATACAAACTTTCGATAGTCTAAATTGAATATCTTTCCATGACCTTGTAAGGGGCACGTATGCTCGTTAAACGGAAGGGAAAATAAACGACATGTTTTTAACTACGTTTCATCCAAAGTGTCAATTTGTTTTCTCACATTAAGAGTTTTCCACGCCAATCAGTTCATTCCTGCAATGGCACGTGGGCACATCTAGCACGAGGATAAACGAAGGCCCTGTTTTCATTGGAAGTTTTCGTCTAGTGGAGCCTAATTAAACCAGTCGTCAGAATGTCTCTAATGAGTTAATAGCCAGTATAAATACGTGAATTTTCCGAAAACATTCGTATTAGTTGTGACTGGTTTCTTAATAGACATTTTGTCTGGATTTCAAAACTTATTTATGCAAACGGAAAAAACTTCGACACTAAATAACTGCATGCACCTTGCAAATAACATTTCCTCCTTTGATCCCCACTTGAACTTGAGGAAACTGTTGCACTATGACACGGATACTGAACCCGACACACTGTAGTTCAAACGTTGCTTTCCGTCTTCCCTCAACCATCACGTACAGTTTTTGTGACGTGCAACGTCTTTGGAAACGGCCCAAAGAGGGAAAGGAGTCACTTGGCGAGCCCGTATGTATCATTATATACAACGAAAATTACTCGATCATCCATATGTAAGGATGGCAAAAAACATCGATGTTATAACCACGGTGTTTTATTCAGATCGATATATTTGTTCAGAAACATCAATTTTGTTCGAAAAAGATCTCTGATACAAATAAAATTTCCAGTATGTATTTTTTTTGTGTGAATTGCTCGCTGTAGCAGCTGTCACTGTTGTCGATCTCCAGTCGCAAAAAATGTTCGCTATTCGCAAACTTTCTCTTCTCTAATTACCTTTTTTGATTATTTTTAACGTGGTAATTGTTTTAAACTGCACTTTAAAACTTGACTACATAGAAAATTGAGTAGAAAATTAAGATGACAGTCAAATTTAAGGCAGACCATACTTTAAATTAATATTGAATTGTTATGTATCACATTAAAAACAGCACATTTTCCTTCGAAATGTTTCATCTTATTTAAAACTTCGATGGTTTCATCGACACCGAAAACCTCTTGGTGATGCAACGAAGTATCGATGGTTTGCTAACATTTGCCATCACTACACATGTGCCGCGTTCATAGACGTCGCCGTTTCTACCCAATGCATGGCCCATTCGGACATTACATGTAATGAAACGTAGAATTAATATTACTTGTATGGTACGACCCACAACCTACTAGTCTGGCGCCTTACTTTGCTGCGCAGAGGAAAGAAGCCAATCCCCGATCGCGATTACCCGAATCTTTTGCGTATCGTGGTCTGGAGCAAAGAAGCCATTACTTTATCACGATTACACGAAGCCGTTACGTATCAATGTGCAGAGATAAAGAAGTCATCACTCGTTAACGATTACGCGAAGCTATTTCCTATCGTTATGTAGAGGAACGTTGCCAATACCTGATCACGCTTGTATCGCGTGTGTCGTTAGCGCCGACGTCATTGTACTGACGTCACGTTTAGAACAATATTTACTCCCTCACGCCATGTTCACTGGGGAGTAGTTCGGCTACAAGTAACCTATGAGTTTCTGTGCGGGAATGATTGACATTGAGTGCGGCGATGGCGTAACGGTTAGCGCATCGGACTGTCGTACCCAAGTTAGCGGGTTCAAACCCGATCGAAGCCGTGGATTTTTTTAGGGCGAGAAAATCCTTCGTACGCCTTCCTACGGAGGGGAAGTAAAGCCGGCTGTCCCATGTTCGTAGATTTACTTGCATGTAAAAGATCCTCAAGCCTAAATGACGTAGCCTCTCACCTAAATTCAAATCGCCTGTTTCTCGCCCAAGAAATACCTCCTTTCTCTCCTAGTTGGTGAAAGGAGCGTAGCGAAATTGCGTGGTCAGACGGAAGAGCGGGCCTGATGGCCCGAGTCTCGCCATGTAAAATAAGGCAAATTCAATTCAATTGAGTGAGAACTGTTGATAGATAAGCAGGGCCGGATTTAAGTATGCGGGGCACCAAGCACAAAATTGTGTTGCCCCCCCCGAAAAAATAGCTCCATCTTTATTAAATAAAACATATTATAGTACAAGTACTTTCTGTACAGATACAAATGAAAACGGATAATTTTTTATAGAAATTTTTTACTTGTGATACATTTTTTTACATTAAATACATACATAATTACAAAAAAACTTTACATATTCAGTTATAGGTAAAGGAAATAAAGTCTAGTTAATATTAGACTAATTTAACATGTAATAAGTATTTTTAAAAAAATGTTTTGAAATTGTACATTTTGTTACACAGTAGACTACTTGATTAACAATTATTTCACAGACAAAAAAATATGGTATGTGTATTTTTCCGAAACCCTGGTGAATAGGGGCCGACAAGCAACTGGTTGTTTTGCTTGTAGGTAAATCCCGCACTGTAGATACCCTTTAGGTTATCCTACCCTTGTAGGTAAATCCGTACTGGCATATCTAAGATAAGACAGTACTACCGCTACTAACTGTAACTGAAATTCAGCGTTTTAAATCTGTAATGAGTCATAAATTGTAACGTGAATTTGTGTAGATCACTTCTGTGCTTTCGAGCTCATATGTCCTCTGCAGCACTCTCAAGACGTTTCATTTACCAACCACACAACCCGATCTATGTTTTTATATTCGATATTTCATAAATAAAATAAAAACGACGTAAATATTCCCATCTCTGTTAGATTTTTCGACCAGTTTCCCTGATTCTTTGAGCAAATACTGAGACGGCACTTTGTTTTACTTCTGGATATAAATGAATCTTCACTAGCTGTCCGCCAACGAAAACGAAAGTAAAATAGACAATATGATTTCATTTTAATGATATCTTTGAGTGCCCGGACCGGACTGATTTTCCTTTGTTTGCCACTGAGCGAAACAAGCAAAAACCAGCTCTGTGGTTGGGGGCAGGTTAGGTTTGGAAAGGAAAATTTAATTGAAACTCAAATCTTTCCTCTTACTGGTCATCATGTTACTTCTTTACAGGTATTTTAATGTATTATCTTTGCTAATAATACCTTACAATTTTGTCCTAATAAGATTTAATATGTTTTCCTCTGGTACAGAACACCTATTAAAGAGCGTGTTGGAGATATATATGTTCTTTGAAGAGAATGAATGTGAAATATCAGTCGACGTTTATTGTATACGTTTATTCATATATTACGTTATTATAAGCACATGTTTACTACATCGAAAGTGAATTATTCTTAATTATTCTTTTACACATTCTCTATTCATTTTGTACCAAGTTTTAATAGTTGAGTAGGAATATTGCTTGATGGTTTTAGTGTACCCTCAATTTCTTCATATACTTTTATCTTATTTTCATACAATAACTTCCGCAATAGCTGAGATGTTTATGTCGTTATGAAATGTTTTGTCAGAAGCGAATCATGATGTGTCTCACAACTTTCTTAAGTTTTTGTTTTGAATCTTCAAAAAATCTCTAGGTTTGATACACTGGTGGAACCCTAAATCATTGGTCCAAATAGGTTTTATGACATTATTTACTTTTTATATAAGCTCTTTGTTGAATAGAGAAAGCTACGACCTTCGATTAAGGAGTCATAACAATTTTAGTTCTTTCAGTTGTGCTTCTTTTCGAGTGTGAGTGTTTTTTTCTTATGAAAGTTTCCCCTGTCAAATGGTGGCAGATATTTGACAGTTGTAGCCTCGTGTAGTTCTGCTATTTATACGAGTACTAACTTTAGGGCACATAAGTAGCAAATTACACTGAAGGGGATCTGTAAAGTTAGTAGACTGAATATCTGTGATTATTAGAATCGGAAAAAATTAATCTTGTTTTCTTAATTTAAATTGCACTAAATTTAAAGATAGGCGTGTGCACGGGGGTTGCCTCCCTGTAAATTGGAAACTGGCCTCTAATTAATAAAACATTTTCTTTCCCCAAATAAGTTCAAGTCCTGATTCCCCCCCCCCCCCCCCCCGACAATTTGGGGAATTAACAACCGACATCTGAGGAAAAGCCTTCTAAATCACCTGAACAACCTGTAAAAAGTCAACATTACTTCACTTGTCTATTGTTGACTACAATCAGTAGTAGTCAACATACTATTGATTGTATCATTAAAATTATTTCATTCTACTTGTATTTTGTTTTGTTTATTTACTAGTAAAATATTACAAATGAAGAAGGCTTCCCAGGGAGGCCCAGAAACGTAGATTCCCCCCTTCCTGCGTCTAGTCTTCGCGCGCCTCTGAATTTAAGACTGAATAAAGTATTTTCCGAGACCTCACTAAGAAGCGTGTTGTGTGTGTGTGCGCAGGCAACTTCAAGGCGGGCCCCGAGCAGGGCACCATCCTGAAGAAGCTGTGCCCCAAGGAGGAGCTGTGCTTCCAGGTGCTCATGGAGGACAAGCTGCGGCCCTTCGTGCCCGAGTACAAAGGGCAGGTGGCGTGCGAGAGCGGTGATCGTATCCTTTTGCTTCGGCACCCGACCACCGACACGCGGGCATTCTTCTTTCTCTCTTTCTTTCTTTCTTTCTTTCTTTCTTTTTTCTTTTATTCTTTTTCCCTTTTTCCTCTTTTCCCTTTTTTCCTTTTTTCCCTTTTTTTCCTTTTTCCCTTTTTCCCTTTTTTCTTTTTTTCCCTTTTTTCCTTTTTTCCCCTTTTTAACCTTTTTTTCTTTTTTCCCTTTTTTCATTTTTCCCTTTTTTCCTTTTTTTCCTTTTTTCCCCTTTTTTCCTTTTTTCCTTTTTTTCCTTTTTTCCCTTTTTTCCTTTTTTCCCCTTTTTTTCCTTTTTCCCTTTTTTCCCTTTTTTCCTTTTTTTCCTTTTTTCCTTTTTTCCCTTTTTTCCCTTTTTCTTTTTTCCCTTTTTTTCCTTTTTTCCCTTTTTTCCTTTTTTTTCTTTTTTTCTTTTTTCCTTTTTTCCTTTTTTCCTTTTTTCCTTTTTTTCCTTTTTTCCCTTTTTTTCCTTTTTTTCCCTTTTTTTCCTTTTTTCCTTTTTTCCCTTTTTTCCTTTTTTCCCTTTTTTCCTTTTTTCCCCTTTTTTCCTTTTTCCCTTTTTTCCTTTTTTCCCTTTTTTCCCTTTTTCTTTTTTCCCTTTTTTCCTTTTTTCCCTTTTTTCCTTTTTTTCTTTTTTCCTTTTTTCCTTTTTCCCTTTTTTCCTTTTTTCCTTTTTTCCCTTTTTTCCTTTTTTCCTTTTTTTCCTTTTTTCCTTTTTTTCCTTTTTTCTTT